CTCCTTCTCCTCCTCTTCCTTCTCGTCCTGGTTTGTTGTACTAAGGATTAAACCCATGGCACTATGCATACTAGGCAGGTGTTCCACTACTGAGTTATATCTCTTTTTAAATTACTTTATTTTGTAGCACAGTCTCTCTAAGTTATCCAGGTTGGCACTGAATTAGCGCTGTACCGCAGGCAAACCTTGAACTTGAGATCCTTCTGCCTCAACCTCCAAAGCAACAGAGTATAGTCTTGACTGAAAAATTTCAAAGCAAAAAGCATTAATTCTAGCTCAAGTTCTTAGCAAACAAAACAGAACAGAATAGAACAGAACAACAACAACACCTCCAAAAAAAACCCCTTAGGTTTATGTTTTGGTAGTAATCCAGAGAAAGGTAGTCACTGTAACATGAGAAGTGGGATTATGGTTTATTCATTTTGGTTAAGATGTTTGGCATAATGCCCAATGGGAGCTTAAACATTATTCTCTTACGGCTAAGATTTAGAACAGAGCGCTTACAAGGGGAGGCTACTGTGCCTGGTTATGACTTATCTCCATCAGACTGAAGCTTTAATTACGACATCGTGGAAACTCATACTAAGCCACCCTCGTTTATTCCTAGTCAGAACTTGGAGTCATCACAATAACTCTGCAGGATGTGCGCACACAGTTTGTTACTGGGCAGCCCAGATCCACGTTTCCAGTGATATCTGACACCCTCTGCCCTTTTGTTGCGGATGTGTCTCTGGCTTTTCCACGCCAAAGCATAGCCCAAGATTAGAGCAGCATATACTTAAGGGTAGGTTTTCCCAGATGGTGGTGGTTGGGACCTGAAACGTAAGAGTGAGTGAATGCTGAGAACTATGTGGAGAAACTGCCTTGGAAAAGAAAATAGTTCTGGAAGACATTTAAGTTGCCGCTAGTGGGTAACCCCTTCCTTTCCCTAATGAATGGTGTATTCTTCTCGTGTGTGTGTGTGTGTGTGTGTGTGTGTGTGTGTGTGTGTGTGTGTGCGCGCGCACACACACACACGCACGCGCACGCACACATGTCCAGTTAATATCTTCATGAAACGACATGCAAATAGGAGTGCAAGTTTTTTTTTTTTGTTTGTTTTTTTAAAAGAGGGCTTAGATCTGTCTGTCATGTATAGAGGGGTGAAGCACAGGGATTTCTTCTGTGTTCTGGGGGAAGAATGACAAAACCCCAAGGGAAACAATTCTATGCTGGTGCATGATCCCATCCTTATGAATTTAAAGTAGATTTCGATCAGAACCACCCCTCTCGTTAGCTAAGCAGAATCCCCCAAGATGCTTTATTGTCCCCTGTGATTCGTGCCTCATCCCCGAGTAGAATCCAACTATTCTCTGGCTGAGCAGTTTGCCCCACGCAGCTAGCTGCCCCCTCAGGTCACACTGTGTCAGCCCAGGTTGCTGGGTAAGGGCTTGCCAACTCCGGCAAACTTCGTTACCCGCGATGACTGAGGTTTCGGGGTTTCCCCAGCCCTCCCATGCTGGGCCACGCAGCTAGCGTCAAAGAGTGCGGCAACTCTCTACTCTGAGCTGCAGGGACGGGGCGGAGAACCCAATGCACCCTGGATGCAGCTGCTACCAGCCCAGGGCTCCTGGCTGGGGGACAGCGAGCGAGCGCAGGGTGATTTTTCACCACATGCCTTGTTTTCCTGCGGCAGAAACCCGAGGCGGGCTCTTTCCACCAGACCTAACTGGCCCGCAGCGATAGCCATGGAAGTTGCTGTGGCGCAGAGCGAGACCCAATCACTCTGCATGGCTTTTTTTGTGGATATTTTTTCCCTACATATTTCTCTTCTTTCTT